CAATATAGGATTTCATTTACAAACAATAAAGCAGCTGAAATTGTTTTCACAATTGCTTTTCGTACAGAATGCAATCGCAATTGCAATTGCAATTCAGATGGCGATTTCGATTGCGAACAGGAAGCGGAGTCAAATCGATTTCGATCATAAAGTATGTGTCACAGGGTGTGGAGCATGTAAACATCTTGAAGAGGAGATTTTGTGCTCCGATTAATGTCTGTATTTAAGTGAAGCACACTTTGAGATGAAACTGCTGAGCTCAGCTCTGTGGGAACCTAAGCCCGAACCTGCCAACGCCAGCAGTTGTGGCCCCTAGAAAATAATTGTATATGTGCCTTTGCTGGTGGCGTTGTCAACACACCCGAAGGATGCAGGGAGCCATAGGATACGTACAAGTATCTGTGGCAAATATCTCCTTTGGGCCTTCACACCTTCTCCGTCTCCTTCTCCTTCTCGAACACACTCGAAGGTGAGAGTGTGCCGGCTGGAGTCCTTGAAGCGATTCCTGATAATTCTTGACTTTTATTCCTCATTTGCTGGTCGATCTAGCCTCTTCACACATCCGTCACATGTCCTAGTCGCATTCATCGGTCGTTTATCTGATTTCGCTTTCGATTTTTTTGTATTTTTTCTTGCTCCGGATTCAAAGTTTTTCGTGCTGGGATTTTTTTTTTGGGGGTTTTCTGCGTGACATGTGATGCGCATGCAAATGCCATCCAAGGGGGGGAAGGCGGCTTTTAAATAAGGCACGACTCTGGGTGATAGAGCGGTTCATCTTTGCAACATTTTCATGGGATTTTATGCTCATTGAAATGCGACATTTGCCGGGCGGCTCGACACACACACACATATGATGGCCTAATATGTCGCCGCTCTCACTTATCGTGCCTCATTGTGAGTCATGACCGCCTCTTTTTATAGTTGGCCCCGATTTGTATGCGTATTTGTATTTAAGCATTCATATGGCCACATTAGCTATGCCCTCGAGAGAGGGAACAGGGAACAACGATATGCGAAAGAAAAATAATCATAAATTCCAAATGCGGCACTTATAATGCCAACTGAGTGATGAAATAGACTGGGCGGAGGAAAGGAAAGGAAAGGCGGTGGAAAACGCAGAAAAGCAGACATTGTTAGCCATAAAAATGGCGACACACAAGTATATGAAAAACCAAGAGAGACCCAAAGAACCTTATTTAAAAAACAACACGATCTGCTGGGAGACAAATCTGTTTAATCCCGGACCTTCTTTGACTTTGTATCCAAACAGAACTCTGCTGATTAGAGATACCCCCAATATTTTGATGTCAAATTTTCATTTTGATTTAATTTTCCCGGGTAAATAGAGTGGCAAAGTGGCAGGAGCAATTTGCTGCACAAATATTTAGATGTACATCCGCTTGCTGGGAGCCAAAACGGAAACATTTTGCCAGCATAATCGATAGTGGAGCATATTTAAGGAGCTCCAGCTGTGTGTGTGTGTGTGTCCTGTTAGTCTAGACTAACTCTGGGCCAAGTTGAAAGGATGCTTCCCCCCCCCGTTGAGTGCATCGACTGACTGCCACTCAGCGCGTCAAGGCGATGTCAGTGCAACTTAACCTTAAGTGCCCGGGATCATGGACAATCCAAGGCATCTCCTTCTCCAAGGCTGCTTCTGGCGTTCGTCTCCGGCTTGGTTACACATCCCGATTGAGATTAAGTGGGAGAGAACAAACTTCACCAGTCACATGTCAATTTATCATTTGACTTTAATTGTGTTGTTAAGGATGTTTGTTTGTAGGCTATAATCAGGCACAAGTGCTGACTTATTCACTATGTCTTCAAAGAATAACTTAAATGGGAAAAACTACTATATATGAGAAACTTTTAGTTAATATTTCTAATTATATTTCTTCTTTAGTAATGACGTTTCCTAGATTTTCTCTCTGCAAACACTAAAGTTTTCACGCTCAATTAGAACGTCCTTGATTTAACAGTTTTGCCCTTCGATTTTCGGTAATTTAAATTTATGTTCATTCGTCGCGAATTGGCTCCATAAATATTCATATGTTTGGCCTCACACACACACACATGACCGCAAACATTTTCCACCACATTTGCTAATTTTCGGGTTGAAAAGTCGACAAATATTTTGGGTCCTTCAACCGCAGCTCAGGACGTGGCAGGAAGGGTCCTTTCCCACTCCCCCCCCCCTCTCTTTGGCCGGGCCATGCATCATGTTAATTTGCAGGCGCCGAGCGTTTTTGATTAAGCGCACGCTTTAAGGCCAAGCCAAAATTTGACAGCAGCCAGCTGCCGGCTTGGCCGTTATCGATAGCCAAAGCGGGCCAGAATGGCAGGGCGGCAAACAACAAACAACAAACAAGCCTGGCTAACAACAAATCGGTGGCATCGACAAGTTGGGCAAGGCATTTCCCGGCCGCCGCATCGTTAATTTTCACAGCGTGAGCAAATTTTCCATGCATAAACTTAAAATTAGCCCAAAGTTTCAAAACGCACCAAAAACAAAATTGGCAAGAGAGAGAGAGAGAGGCTGGGCCTAAAATGTTGTATGTGAAAATCTTTGGCAGTGTTGGCTATAAATTGCATGCTCGCTGATAAACAATAAATTAAGTTCAGTTACGCTGTGAAGCTGGGCGTTTTTCCACCCACCGAATTTCCCACGCTTTTCCGCACCGTTTATGCGCCACGCACGCATACGTGCAGCATTCCTAAGCTAATTTTCGCTCGCTTTTGATACCCTGTTACCTATCTTTGATCTGCGGGAGAGGGAAGTGGCCCATGGTAGGGTATTACCGGGTCCTATTCTTTACGAAATGGGATAAGTTTAAACCAGATTAAGATTAAAAAACGGAAAATATGGGAGTGTGTTACACCAAACTTCAGTTTTCTTTGAAACTAAGGAATTTAGAACAATTAAATGCAGATTTTAAAAGACTTTCAATGAAAACTTCTTGTAAAAACGTGTTTTTTCATTCATTTAAGAAGGAAGTCTTATCAATTATTAAATTTATTATAAAACAATTGCTAGAAAATCATAAAGAAGAGATAAATTTCAAAGAAACCTAAATGGAAAATCTATTTTCCTGAAAATATTCCCATAACCTTCTGCTTGATATTTCCAATGCCATATGGATATTATATCGAAAGAGCAACCCCTCTTCGACTTTAGCCACAAACTTTTACACCGATGCTCCCTCTTACATTATTATCTATGCTGAAATGTTTTGCATATTGCCCGAAGATGGAAAGCCGCACGTACGCAAATGTTGCGGGTGCGCATTAAATTTAACTTTGTGTTCGAAATTTTTGAAAAAAAAAAAAAGAAGTGCGAGTAAATCGTAAAATTTGTCATGTGCCACAAAAGCAGCGCAGCACAACCCACATTTCCACATCCCAAACCCTTGTGGTGGCGCCGATTCGTGTTTTCACGTTGCTACGCATGTGAAAAAGTTTGCGTATGTTTTCCAGCCGTATGTGTGTGCGTGCCTTGGCGAAAGTTTTCACTTCTTTTTTTCGATTTTTCGCATTATTTTTTTTATCTCCCTGCCCAGTTTTTTTTGGCGCGTGCGGAAACGGAAATGTGCAACAGCAGTTTTCCTTCGTCTCCGGGCGATGGATAGCGGTAGCTCTTTGATTCCCGGCTGCCAGTTAGTTCAGTTCAGTTCAGTTCAGCCGTAGGAGTTTGATAAACCGAGGAGCCAGCCAGCAGGAGCTCGTCTCGTATCGTCTCGTATCGCCTCATTCAATTATTCGTATTCCAGTTGGCTGCATGCGATCTACGCCGATTTGTACCGGGCTTTGATGTGCGAAACTTTTCCCCAGCTTTTCCGTCTTCCTTTTGAGCCACAGCTGCCCGGGCGCCACGAATTGATGAACTTATTTCACCCCGTTTTTCCCTGTCCTGCCCTGAGTCCAGGCCGTTATCTAACTTGTCTCTTAGCGGCTGCAGGACACAACTTTTGCACTGCTTTGACATATTTAGTGGGCCAACTTTTCCGTCGGCCATAAACTTGACCAAAGTGTGCTGATGACCGGAAAACATTTTTACCATCATAATTAGCATCTTTTCTGTTGACGGCGAAACAAAAGCGCACATAATTGAGCATATAATTTTTATGACAAGTTCTTTTCTAGCAATACCTTTCTTATCACATTGTTTTACGATCATTTAAAAGGTTAATCGTTAATTTAATATTATTTTTAAGCACGTAGTTTAGTGGTTTATATAAGGAAAATTACATCTGAAACTGAGATCAACTTTAAAACCATTTAGAACAACGAAAGTTATTAAAAGACAGCTTAAATTGAATATATATATAAAGAAAGTAGGACAAAAACATATGAAAAACTTTTAAACATAATTTAATATCATTCAGAGTGTATGCTCTCTTTAAAGATAAACTTGATTGTGTCCAAAAAAACCCTATAATTCTGATCTTTGCCATGGTAATATATGGAATACTTTTGCATAAGCTATTGCTTCATTATAACAAGGCTTGAAGCTTAAGTAAACCATATCTATGGCTTAAAAAGGACATCATCGATTCCTTTTTTGAGTATTTTCAAGTTGAAGTCTCCTTCCCTTTCTCCCGATTTTTATCAGAGAGAACTCCCAAAGCAGCAAACAAATGCCGAAAGAAATAAAAAAGAAAGTATAATTGTTTGTTGAGGATTTTTTGTGTGTTTGTTTGTTGTTGTGTGCCACACACACACACACTCATACTCAAACTGGTCCATCCCTCTCTCAGTGTTCATTTATTTGTTTTCCAGCCTCGGTTTTTGAGCAGAATTTTTATGCGAATTTTATTACTTTTCAGTTTCAGTTAGGACTTTGGTAGCCACCAAAAGTTGTGGCCCTGCTAAAAACCAACAATGCGCCGCTGCGTATGTGCGAATGAAAATGAAAATAAATTTCCATTTGGCACAAGTTTTTTTTTTTTTATGCCTCTGAACTGCTCTAACATTCTGCTTTCTCTCCCTCTCTATCCTATTTCTAGGTTATAGCGCAGCAATTGCGCCCACGCCGCCCACGACGACGACCACCACCGTCTCGCCCTCGAACCTGCTGCCCTACTTCGACTTTGATGTGCCGCGCAACTTGACCGTAACCGTTGGCCAGACCGGCTTCCTCCACTGCCGCGTGGAGCGGCTCGGCGATAAGGATGTAAGTACAAAGTTCCAGCGAAAAAAAGCTACCAAAACCCTAAAGGCATACCCTAATTGGATATTAAAATGATTGGAAAATTCGAATTATAAATAATCATTAATTCCAAAATCCATAAATACATAATCTGGAAATAATAAAAACGTATCAGTACAAATCTCCTTATACTTTCTATACAAAAACTTCACTGTGTATTTCCCTTTAATCTTATAGTTTTCAATAACTTTTATACCCAGACTTTTCCCATAGTTTTCTTATATTTATAGTAAACTCTAAATACTACCTCATGTCTTCACATATATGCCTAGAAAGTTATCCTGCAGCTAGAATATCCTTTCATAGGATAGGGTATACAAAGTCAATGGCTTAACATATGGAAATTGTGGAAAATAAATGAAAATTCCGCTTGGGATTTGCAGGCACTCAATCATTCTGCCTGCCCGTGATTGCCAAAGCAGGGGGCCTCGGTGCCTGCTTTCGGTTCGTTTGGGTCCACTCCAATTCAGGGCGAAATGATTGAAGGTCGCAATGGGTTGTTAACCCTTTCCAGCCAAAATGTGGGGGCGGACTGGCGTTGCCGGGGCTAATATGTCAACATCACGGGGCATATTAGGTGGGCGGCCAGAATCTCTCTTAGCCGGGGCTTAGTCCTTGTGGCCAGTGGTCCTGTTCCTGGTCCAGGGTGGTGACAGATAGTCCAATCATTCAAAATTCAGGCACTCACGCTCGGTCCTTGAACCAGTGTGCATTAGCAGGCGGGACTCGTGCTGTTATTAAATGGCAGAGAGGATGGTAATACGGGGGGAGGAGCCTAGACCAAATTACCGGGTGATTTCGAGGCTGCACTCGAGGCTGCGGAGAAAAATTGCCCAACAAGACAGGCGACAACTGAGCAAACGTCCTTTGGGGGGTGTTGCCAGCCTTAACGAGTGCCCCCTGCCCCTACCCACTCGCACACACACTCTCAAATAGACTGCTAAAGCAAAATGACTAATTTATGAGCCATCAATCACGTGACTGGCTCAGCCATCAGCCTCGTGCGCCCGTGTTATCGGCTTTAATTTGCCCGTTTTAAGGCAAGAGCGAAAGGATGGGGCGTAAGCCGAGGCCGGAAACCGGAAGTTGTGCGCCTTGGAGGAAGCAGGCAAAGTGCAGGCACGAACCGAGACAGGAAAAGGAAGAGCAACTAGAACAGGAGTTGAAACAGAAGCACCGGCAACCATCGTCATCACCATCATCATCATCATCATCATCAACTGGGAACTGGGACTCAAGTTTACCCATTTAATTCAAGCTCTCATTGGGAAAAGTTCATTAAAAGCATTGAAACTACATTAAACAAATGACACGCAAACAGCGAAAGCCAAGCAAAATCCTTGCCCTTGAGCCTTAATTACTTGTCCAGCCCAAGTCCCCGTTCTCACATCCCCAGAGTATTTGTCATTGGCCTTTCAGTAGAGGCCTTCCGGTTGAGGTTGCTGCTGAGGATGCTGCTGCTGCTGATGATGCTGATTCTGCCTTTGCTCCAGCTCTTCCTGCTCCTGCTCCTTCTTGTCGCACTCGCTGGCACTGGCGTCAGCTATTGATTGCACGGTGGCTGCCACCACGGCGGCCAGAACCTCGCTATCCAGGCGGGCGCCCCATCTATGTGGTGCCTTCTCATCCGCTGGCTCATCGTCGCTCGAACTGACCGTTAAGGATGTGTTCTGGGCGGGCACTTCGAGGTGATCGTGGTGGGTGAACATGGAGGCTGTAGTCGAGGCCGTTTCCAATTGGATAGCTCGCAGCAGGCGACTTGGATTAGGGAAGGGTCGGCGATTCTCCAGGATTAGCTTGATATCACGAGCAGATTGCCACCAGCTAAGAGAATATAATAACTGCAACATATATGATATTAGATTTAATAATCTGACTAACCGATACCAAGGCGTTAGCTGGGACTTGATCAGCATGTAAATGTTGGCAAAGTACACAGTAATCTGGGGGTGGGGCAGGCACATTATAGCTGCGAAAATCACAAAGAGATCAACTTCACCGTCATGAACAGAAAGAACATCATCCATGACTTGGTCCACAGTTTGCTCAGACCCCAGGAGTGAGTGTTCATGGCGTAGTATTGGATGCCCACCAGCAGAGTGCCAATAATGCCAAAGGCCACCAGGGTGAGCAGCGAGAACATCTGGCAATCCTCCTGCAAAGCCCTGCGACTCATGGCCCGCGAATACCACAGGCGCAGCGATTGCAGACAGGTGTACCTGCAACGGAAGCTGGCAGGTGAAGTGAACATCCCACAAAGCCACTAACAAAGCTGGCCTAGCAATTAGGAGGCGCCACTGAAACAGGAGCAGGAGCAGGAGCCAGCTCAGCTGATTAAAAAGATCTGAACCGCAGGCGTCTTTCATCTGCTGCCGCTTCGAGTGACACCTGCCAAATGCACTCGAAGAAATACCCAGGAAATCATGATATTTTCATTATTAAGCTTCCTAGTAATTTCCCAAGGAATTTTCTTCGAGTATAAGGTCCTGTTCTTAAACTTACCGCAATGTCTGCTCCGTGCTGTACTGGAACTGGCACAGCTCGCAGGTGGTGCATCGCGAGGTGCTAATCCAACGCTCCAGGCAGTGCACATGGACATATGTCAGGGAGCCTTTGCACAAGCACGGCGACACGAGTCTGCAAACAAATCGGGAGCGAAAAAGGCGAAGGATTGACTGTAGGTGGCCGTTGGTTTAATGGGCAAACAGTGGAAGCAATGAAAAATCAGGGGGATTAAAAGCGACAGCCAACCAGATAATCAGGGATAAAGTGCTCGATGCGGGGAAAAGGTACGATAGAAGCTCTGCTCTGCTCTGTGCAGTGTTCAGTGTTTAATTATTAAAATAAATAAATGCACTTGCTGGCTGACCGTGCGCTAAATGCATTAAATGCCATGCAATTAATTTCTTGCACAATTTGCGGCTCCACTTTTGTAATTAAATGGTAGTTACAGCACCCTGTGCTTGGATAACAGGATTGAAAGGATTTATATAAGAAATATATTCATGAAATTAAGTAATAAGATCATCAACTTGTCATTGAAATCATAATTGATTTACACAATTCTGTAGATGGAAATGAAACCTTATAGGTAATAGCTTAACATTTTGCAGAGAATATTCAATGGAAATGTAAGAGATATCGATACCAGAAATATCTGTAATGCAGAGATATACACTCACTGTTCGGGATTATCGGCATTGTGACAAATGCGACAGACTAGCGATCCCACAGAGGGCATAGACTCGTTAGACACGGACTCGTATCCCAGGCCCAGGTTGTTGCACTGCGTGGTGCCATCGATGCAATGCCTCAACGTGGCTATGGACTCTGTGCCACTGACTATGCACTTGGGTTTAAGCGGAGGCGTGGGTGGTCCGTAGGTGGAGCAATTGGCGGCAGCCAAGGCGGCTTCGGTGCTAACCATCGGATGACTTGGTTGCGGCACCTTTTGGAAATGGACAGTCGACTTCAGGCCCAAGGGCACAGAGCAGGCGGGTGTTTCGGTTACTTCTGGTTCAAGAATGGAGACTTCCTTGTCGCTGGACTGATGGGGCTTCAAATCCCAGTTACTGATACGCGTCTCCACCACAATCATGCCCGGTGGAGTGTCATCTGCACTGCTCGAGGACAGAGCCTCCTCGAGCTCCATTTCCAGGGTGGTGGCATCCTGCTTGAGGTCCCCAACATCTCTGATATCGGTGTCTTTAGGGGATCAGTAGGATTTTCACTAGAATCAGTTGAATATCTATAGTGGTTACTAACCGCACTTTTCGCACTCCATTCCTTGATCTGTTTTGATGTGTTTTACGCAGGTTGTTACCGAAATAAACAAGAAATTTTAAAACATTTTCTGTTCGATCAGAAAGGCTGCTTTTGTTTTCACTTAAGTTTTTGGATGAAAACATTTATCCAGATGGCTTTGTGTGTCGTCAAACTCAAGGAATACTTGCTAGTTCTTAAATAATATTTATCCTTTTCGCTTTAAAGTGGAAAGTGAAAGGAAAAATCTTTCCATAATACGTGTATTTTAAATTAATACTACTGGAATGCATATATTTCTAAACAATATCTTTTTATATCATTTATTTATTAATTTTTTGTTTAATCCTCTTTTTGCTAGAAAAACTATACAAAAAATTTCTGTAAAATAATTACCAACACTTTTCCAACATTGCCAAACGCTGATGGTGACCTATTTTCCTCTCATCGACATCCTCTGATCGATATACAAGGCCAGTCTCCCCTTTCCTGGTTAGGTACATGGCCTAATGGAGGCAGTTAAGCATGCTCTGGCTGGAAAACAAACTTGTCCCGCAGCCAAGTCGCCCACATTAATTGTAATTGACAGACTGGAACCGCGCTGTCAGTGCCCACGCAAAAACTGGCTCCTCGGGACAGCTCCTCCTCCGGCCAGCTCCTCCTCCGGCTAGCATCCTTCTCCGCTGCATCCATAAACTCAAAATTGAAAGTGTAACAGTTACGGCAAATAACTTTGCCGGCGCTTGGCTTCCATTACGCGCCACTCCACGCGAAGCAGGCTCCTCGGGTAATTTATGCCCGTGCCGTTAGTTCGTTAACCGTGAGTTTTCCTCGCGGAAATGCCAAGGGATCTTTTCTTGGAGGAGGGTTTTGGGTGCTATTTCCATATCAGCTGACACTGCCAACGCTCTGACGTTCTTTATACACTTTTTTGAGGGGCGAAATTTCTATAGCATAAAATATTTGCAGTAACTTAAATAAGTTTGGAGGGTATTTCCTTAAAATGTTTAAGTATTTCTAATTGTTTAGAAGCTCTAAAAATAACTTTTAAAGTAATGGGAAGTTTTCTATATAAAGTTTTTAGATCGAGTTTCTTGCTGCCTTCAGTTCTAGATGCTTTAATTTAACAATTTAAGGATTTTCTTAATTCTTTTTTATCACAACTAATTTCCTAGGTCTTAATTAGTTAGTTAAAAGTAAATCACTTAAAACTATTACATACTTCCTTAATTCTAGACAGTTTTCGTATTATTTTTATGAATTAAAAAATGAAAAGCAAGATTAAGGCTACTTTGCTGCTTTAAGGCGGTTTTATTTAGGATTTTTCCTATTTCCCTAACCAATATTTCAATAAATCTTCAAAAAAAAATTCAAATTAAATGTTTTTGAAATCCCCCCTTTATAGATCACCCCCCAAAGATAATTAATTCCCCCTGTTAGGGTGCTTCACAATTCGATCCCCGAGGATGCCACCTACATTCTTGTTTTTCGACTGCCCTTGCCGGAAGCTGGCGCTGAATCCGCTTGTTCAACTTGACTTCACAGGATTGTCCGTTCGCTGTTGATTTATTGCGCGCCGAGTGCCGCCAACATTTTCATAAAACGCTCCACGGCCACATCAGCGAACATGAGCACGAGCAATTTACTCGTGTAATACCAAAAGCGGCAACAATAAGGCTGAGGCTGGGCCAGAAAAAAAAAAGTATATTAAACAAAGTTTTAGGCTTTGTAAAAAGGCAGCGAACCCTTTTTAATGCCAACAGGCCAGCAAGCCATACTTCCCAGAAATGCGGCAGCGGAGGGGAACAAAAAAAGAAATCAAAATCTGTTTACAACTTTGTTTACAAAATGCTGCCATTGAAGTCTCCATTTGTTTATTGTCAAACCCGGGACGGGATCGGGGTGGGTCTGGCTTTAAGGGAAAACAATTTAATTTGGATCAAGTTCATTAGGCGATGCCCCAGTAATTTGCGAATACGAACCGCTTTTCGCAGAGCTTAATGGAAGTTTTTCACACCATTTTCTAAGCTCGCACAAAGACAGTGGCTACAAACTAAGAAGTGCAACTGCAACTGCAACTTCAACTATTTTTTGGCTCCAAGTCTAAAGTCTCTCTCTCTCTCTCGGTTAGAGATGCAGAAAATGCGTCAGCAAAGTTTTTAATGTATTTTCGCCAAGTTTTCCACACGCTCGCACAAACACATAGAAACATGCACATATATATATTTATACTTATATATTATATATATATGTATGGTGTAGAGAGGCAACCTCAGCTGAAAGTTCTTTCATTTGCTGCCGTGCTGTGAAATGACAGAAAAACAAAGCGAAAGTAAGAGTCGAAGGAAAGTGGAAAGTAGTGCGAGGCTGAGCGAAAGTTTGCTGGCCGCAGCGAACACAAAGTGTTAAATAATATAAAACTATGCTTGTGGTATTTATTTAAACCTAAAGACATTACGAAAATTATACCCCGAGCAAAAGTTTCGCCACTCACGGGGGACTCCCCTTAACCTGTCCCTGGCCGGGGTGAAGTGGAAATCCAACGTGCGACAGAGATTGGGATTGGGACAACTTCTTGACAGGGGATAGCGCTGGGAAAACGGCTTTAGCTCAGCCTTGGCTGGAGTTGTAAAACTTTTCACTTTTGATTTTAACTGTTTTCCAGTTGGAAAATTAAATATTTAAGTGCTGGCCTGGAATACATAATTGAGGGGCTTAATCCGACCCTGTTTGGTTACCATTGCGATAGTTATTTAGTTCACAGTTCGATTTCGCCTTTTGCTTTATGACATTGCTCATACGCCGCGTGAGCCTTGCTTTACAGTATTACTCATACGCACCGAGGTCCAAGGCGACAATTGACCGACGAAATAAACGAACGGGTAAATCGCTGCTGAACTGGGTTTAACTTCTCGTTTGCCGAGATTTGACCTTTTCCCCCAAACGGAGAGAGGCTATTTTCCCCCTCCAGTTTTCCCTTGCTTTTCCCCCCACTTTGGATCGGTTTAATTTACATTTTGGCCGAGACAATTCGCCTATGATCCGGAGGGGCGTAAAAGCAGGCAAACGCATAAAAGTTTTACAAGCGAATGATTTTTATTTTTACGTATTACGTGACCGATTTCATCCTGCTGTTCGCCGATTTCGCCTTAAATCGAATGAATTTATTAGATGGCCAATAGCCATTTAGCCGGAGAAGAGCCGCCAAAGCCACTGGCAATTGGAAAATAGTTGAATAAATGGCCACCTCAATTTAACCCCAAGACCCACGGGGGCAAGGTAATTAAATTTATTAATGAGGTAGCATATTTTCAACTTTAATGTTGACAGCCAGCAAATATTTAAAGGAGAGAGAGAGAGAGAGAGAGAGGGAGGCTGAAACTTTTTCCATGTAATTAAAATTGAGTATCACAATAGCCGAGAACAACAACGGAAACTAAGGTCATCAAATAAATTGGAAACAATGTGCCAAAAAGGGCACAAAGTGTGTGTGTGGGCCCCAAAGAAATCACAGACAGTTTCGAGCGAGAGAAAGAGAGACACAGAAAATCATGGTTAATGGCTTTTCCCAAAAGATTTTCCAGCCGAGGGCCGAATGGGAATGCGAAGGCAAAGGCGCTAGGCAATCAAATGAAAATGTAATTCAAGCAATAATAAAAATGCTACCAAATAAAGGCTGAAAATGGCGTCAAAGCTGTCTCCCCCTGCAATGGTTTTCACAAAAAGGATTGAAGGCTATTTGAAACAATTGGAAATCGGGCTGAGGCAAGCAGCTTTGACAAAATTGGACCGTCGTGACGACCCACTGACAGACTGACCTTTTGGCTTACAGCGTCTGCAATTGTCGATGGCCATTTGTGCTCATCTCTCATCTCGTAGCAACGCGGCGTATACGTAACGCCGGCCTTTTTGTACGCTCTAATGTACTTTGGCTCGCACCCGACTTTGCTTTGGCTTTGTTTGTCCACTGATTAAATGCCTCAAACCAAAAGCAAAATGCTAAAGATTAACACGAAAAAAAAGTAAGAGGAAAGTAAACTTTTCGCTTTGTTTTCATTTTGCCACCTCATCCTGTTCCGCCTGCTGGAGTTTTGGTGAGCGAAAACAGCAGACAAAACACGTTAAACTCACGGGTGGCAGAAAAAGTTTTAAGTGCGGAATTTGTAATGCTCCACAAACTTTTTAGCAGCAAAGCGGTCCAACGACTGAGACTGAGATCCCCCCTTCTTGTTTTCATTGTAGGTTTCCTGGATACGCAAACGTGATCTGCATATCCTCACCGCCGGCGGCACCACCTACACGTCCGATCAGCGTTTCCAGGTGAGTGTGTTACTTCCGGTTGTAACGGAACCCCCTAAGGACATCCATCTGTTCTTCGTGCACCCGCAGGTCCTGCGACCCGATGGCTCCGCCAATTGGACACTGCAAATCAAATATCCGCAGCCACGTGACTCCGGCGTCTACGAGTGTCAAATCAACACGGAGCCCAAGATGTCTCTGTCCTACACATTCAACGTAGTGGGTAAGTTGAAGTCCTTTATCCTTATTAACATTTATAAATACTTTTATTTGATCATGACATAACACCAAGACTTTAAACAATCCATAACTTAAATTAAAACAAGTTAAGTATAAGAGGTTTTAAAAATCATGTAGGTATATAGTTATAATGAAAGAAGTCTAAAATCCTATAGCACAATGTCTTAAAGTTAAAACTTAGTTTCTTTTCTATAGTGGACTTCATTATTTTCAACTTTATACTTTATTTTCTCAAGTTTTCTAGAATTACAGTGAATTTTTCTGCACTTAATGCGGAAAGCTTAAGACGGCTTTTACCCGTTAAGATGAAAAGTTTTCAGAAAAACTTATTAAATATGAAATGAACCCCAAACTCCACGCTATTTCTTGAGCAAGCGTTAATGAATGTTTGAAAAATACACTTTATGGCTTATTTTCAAGCCAAAGAAAACCTTTTTTTTTGACTGATATTCCGACTTGTCTTTAATATATGCAACAGTTTTTGCCCATCCCATAACCATTACCCATTATTTGTCTCAGAGCCTGAGCCCGATAATCAGAACTTTGGCCTATTATACGACACAGCAAAATAGGCCAATCGAAATGGAAGGAGATGGCCCAAGAGGCTGGCCCCGAAAATTTGGTCGCAGGCCACTGAAGTGATTACTTTTACGGGCTGAGAGCTCTTGAAACTTGCTGGCAGTTTTTGAGCCAACTATGCAGGTTTCATGGTCTTAAGGAAGCCATACAATATGCATGTTACGACTATTCTCGGAGCGTGTGAGCCACGTTAGCAGCAGCGACTCCCCTCTGTACGTGATTATAAAATTTTCAATTCGATTATGTGCAAATTGGCTGGAGCTGGGGGATTTAAGTACGAGCGAGTGCTTACCTCTTTGTCTTGGCAATTGGCCGGGTAATTAGTTTGCTTTCGGGTCAGAACCCTTGTCAAACATCAGCAGTTAGGGAAAGGATGCCTAAAATGGATGGATGGATGGATGGATGGGTTAACTCGGCTCCGGCAAGACGTTATCCTTGGGAGAACACACTTTCGGAGCCCAAAATCCAAGTGCGGCTTGCCTTTTGCCTTGTCGATTTTGGGCTTCGTTCCGTTCCTGTTCGGTGCATTTTTATCGCTTTTAATATCAGCAAAATGCATTTGGCTATGAGCCTCTGGTGCGGAAGAGTGCCCTCAATGAGCTTATTTGATCTCTGATTTTCCCCACAACAACAATATGTGTGTGCGTATATGTTTTAGCCGCACGGACAAACGACTTTCAAGCCAACATAAAGCACTACGGTCAGCCCCGGGATTCGGTTATGAATCTTTTAGTGCGAACGAGAACTCTGAATATAAGTTTACACGCAAACAGTACCGGCAACTTGACAGACTGACAAGTCGCCATCAAACTCGCACACACACACCCAGAGAGCATCATAAATATTACATTTGCGGAAATGCAAATGACTATGAAACGGCTGCATGCACCCGGCCACGCCCACATTAGTGGGCTGGCACACACACCCACACGGTCTGGAACTCATTTGAATGCCCAAAATACAAAAAAAAAAAGAAGAAATGTGCATATAAAATATTCGACATGCCACTCACGCGGAAACAGCAAACAGCAGGTCAGTGGACACAGTGGAGTGAAAACAATCAACCCAATAGGGTTCTAGGCCCCTTAAAAAGCAATTCATTTTGGTCGCTTATATATATATTATAATGATCATTAAAGCTATAGCTGAAAATAATTAAGAAATGGTGCAATATGCTCTTTAAGTAGGGTTATTTATCATGAATACAGAGTTTATAAATATTAACAAAGTCCTTTTAATAATAAGATGCATCACTCTTCCTTATTTTTGATTTCCATACAACTGTAAGTCTTTCAGCTAAGTGAAATGTAAACATCAGAGAACTTAAAAGAAATATTCATGCTTTCTGAGCAGTCCTTCTAAGAAGCTTACAGAAATCAATTAAATTTGAAGAGAATTCTCGAATTATTTCCCAGTCCCTTTTCCGTCCCTTAATTGTAAGCTCCACTGTGCTGTATCTGCTGTCATTGTCGGTGCAAACAAGTTTGTTGTTATGCCAAAATTTTTATGCGCTTATGCAAATAAAAAATTGTGCACTAAAAATTCCATAAATTTGTGTGTTTTTCTTCCACTGCTGCTGCTGTGAAAATTCTATTACACGCCTCCTCCCGAGCGAGATAAAGAAGAAAATATATATAAATAAAATGAAGAGCGCGGCGAGTGATAAACAAAACAGCGCCAAGTTGACCAGAGAATCATAAACATAAATCGCCTTCCGTCTGCGACGCCTCTTCCTTCCTCCTTCCGCCTTGGCCGCAATATTTTTGACATTTTAATGCTGCAGCAGCCGCTCCAATTGCTTAAATTACCAACTTTATGTACTCAACTCGACTCCAGAAAAAATGGCAGTACAGGATACTGCCAACTAGGTGTCGGCCATGGTAGCATGTTTATATGAACATAGATAACTTCAGAGGACTGCGAGTTGTTGCCCCCAGACTCGATTTAATTTTGAATTTAAGGCAAATTACCAAACGCTCTGATAAAGCGAGCAAATTGTAAATTAAATTATGTCTCCCTGTCCCACTCAACTTGAGCGACAAGAGGAGTACAGGACCCCATCAGACGGCCGAAGGACATGGAATAGGGGACAAGGACAGGATAAGAGTGCTGAAGCAGAGGCGAAAATAAATCGAGCAAGAAATTTTACCTGGCCAAAGTCGCAGGTTAAATGCCCTCACAGTTTTCTCAAACGAGAAATATTCTTGTACTGAATAGGAGAATATTTTATTATTACACAGGGATATTACTAATAATATCAATAAATTGCATTTTGAGGAGTTTAGTGTAGAAAACGATTGAAATTTAGTAGAATTGTAGAAGTAGTAATGGATTTTTCTATACCTTATTGTACATTATTATTATTTTTCCTTGTTTATAATTCTTGAATACTAAAATCTAATTAAAATCAGCTTCAAATCGGTTTAAACTTAACCTTTATACATCATAAATCTTGTCGAGTCTTCACTTTAAAGTTCCCTTTACCTTTTGCCAATTTATAATACCCTTTGAAAGTGTGCTTATATTAAGAAAGGTGTTGTTGATGCTACTTGAAAAAAATTTGTTTACCAACGCGAATGTAATCAAGCGTGAGCGCTACCTGGCTTAGTCAACCTCGTGAGGGGCGAGTGGAAAACAAATTGCACAACCGGAGCACCGGAAGAGCTGCTGCAGCTCCCAGCCAGGAGAGCTGCGGATGAGAGCTGGAATTGAAGGCAATTTGAATGCGTAGCTGACAAGATGGAGATGCCAAGTAGATGGCTCATTTTGGGCTCCATAAACCAACACTTTGGCCCAAGAAGCTGTTGACATTAGCAGCCAGCAAATTGCATGCAATCAAGCGCAAATAGTAATCTAGAACCCGAACGAGCAAGGATCCATGATTAGCTAGGGACTAAGCCACTTTGTTCCTTTTTAAACTAAGGCATATAGTTTGAAGCAGACGGGGGAGTTTTAGAATAGGAATATGGTAACATATGTTGACTAAAATCATATGAAAACGTCAAGGAAAGACGTCTGTTTTTTAAATTTACAGTCCCAAAAAATTACGTATACGCATAGGTGTAATTATACACTTGTAGGGAAATCAGGTGCTGCTATATATGTTACGTATATAAAGCCCACTCAGATCTTTTGTAAATGCATGATAATTTAGGTAAGATCTACAGATAATTGTCAGTATTTAAAATAAATATAATTACATGTTGTGATCGTCAGACAAATACAATTCTTCCCTTATTTACGAGTTCCTGACTTTTCTTCTCAAGCAGCGCTAAATTAGTTTTGTGTTCTGGCATCTTGAATGGCAAAGTAATTGTGCGCCCACAAAAAATCCATTAACGTGGCCTTGTCAAAAACAAAGAAATCTTGAGCTTCCTCCCCGGTTCCTTGAGGTTAATAGACGAAAACCAAGAAAATGTTGGCAATTATGATGCACATTGAATGCTCAAAATGCGAACACTCAAGAAGCTTGAAAGTTAAGCGATTCCCATTGTCTTGGCAGCAGGAATTTGCTAGCTGCAGTTGTTGATTGTGCGCCCACCTGACCCAATTCGCATGCAAATTGAACGTGAGCAAAAGTTTACCTTTACCTGTGCCATTGCCTTTGCTTAATATATACAAAGCACCGGGCCAGGAAAATGCCCAGGCGAAACGAGTGGCTGTAAGAGATAGAGCACTACAGCAGCAGCTTTGTGGGGGGGATAATGAATTTTTATAAATAAGTTGCCGTAAGGACTTGCCGAGGACGACGACGACGAGGAAAGGACTCCAGAGGGAGCCCAGACCCATAGACCGGGGCCGCACAATTTGCCCGGCAATCAAATGTTTTACTTCCCATTTCATTCATTTGCGCTCAAATTACATTCTACGGCAAATGCCTAGACCAAAAAATGCCCCAATGATAAATTACTAAGATATTGCCGAGAAATGGGATAGGAGTCGAGCGGAGGAGGAAATGATTAATGTCTCTGCAGCAATGTCGAATTATTAATAATAATAATCACAACAATGGGGACTAACTGAAAAGGATCCCGAAACGGGATCCGGGCAATGATGATGTTTTGGCATTTTCATTTCGCCATTGTTGGGCTTAGGAGGCTGAAGTCCTGACAGGCAAATGGAAATGGAACTTGCGGAAGGGGGCGTGGCGGGGCCAAATACTTCATCAATTGTGCTGGCAATGCGGCTGACTTTTACAAATTGAATTTGTTTATTTGATTTGACAATTAATTCCGAGCAATTGCACGTCCACGACCATGTCCACATCCGATTAATTGTCGGTCGCTAACCCCCCCCCCCTCGAATTTAAAGAGGCTTAAAGATAATGCCCGCTCAACACGGCCCAGTTTGATATTGTTTTTCGGGCAATAAATACCGAGATGTTGTTACATGTGTGCAAACATGCATCAACACTGACGTAGGGTAATAAATTTTTACGGCCCGGGCCCCACAAACGAGCATAAGGGCCCAGAGAGCGAGACCGAGCCGAGAGCCAGGAGCCAGGAGCCAGGAGCCAGGATCCAGAGCTGGCTGCAGCGGCGGCCCCAAAAAGTATGCCATGTTTTGTGCCCGGCCCTAGGCAAAGTTCATCGCTCCAAATGTTTATGGGCATATAGGCTTATGCGCATTTTATGCGCGAAATCAAGAAAAATGAAAATGCATTTTCCACACACAGACACACACACACACACACACACACACACCCCTTCCATGGCCCATCTTTGGCCGCATCCTTTCCACTTTCTGCTGCGGCTGCACAAAAATTCGCCAGAGTCTGAGTCTGTGTGTGTAAACAAGGCTCGGCAAGGACTTTTTGTTTGCCAGGACGACGATGGTTGGCATGTGGCCAGGAGTAGACTTTGCAACTTTTCGGTTCCTGGGTCAACTGCGGCCAGGTCTAATGAAAACTTCAAATAGGACCAAGTGGCTCTTGCTTGACTGACTGACTGACTGACTGACTGAAGGACTCACCTGGCTCCCCACCCCCTGCATAATGCAGCAGGATCCCACTTAATCTAATTATAGTTAAATAAGCAATTTCCCATTTCCCGTTCAGAAGGACTCACATTTATTCAGCAGCAGCATGCGGGTTCACACCTGCGAAAGAAGCCCGCTTCTTGTGAAAACCCCTCCTATTCGTGGGAACCGCAGACGCGTTGTCAGCTGCATGTGTGTGTGTGTGTGTGAGTTGGGGTGGCAATAATTTTCCCGGCCACGAGTCCTTGCTCTCTGCACCGATGCTAGCAAAAGTCATAGACGGTTAGCTTTCGCTGCCACAATTGTTTTGCCAGGTACAACAACAAGGTGCCGCACTCAGCGCTTTCCACAGAAGATGGGTCCTACCCACACACCTCTATATATATGTATATATATTCACTCCTATATATGTGTGTGCGGGTCTATAAAACAGCCAGATAATCGCCCAGCATGTTCGAATTCCATTTGGGGTTGCTCCAGCCCATTCGTTTGGCTCCGCTTTCCTGTTCTGGCCTTCTTTGTTTCGGGCGGTATATTACTTTTTCTACTTGGCATTTCATTTAGATTAACATTTTTGGGACGCGGACCCCAAAAAAAAAAAAACGACACAGTCACACAATCGCACACACCTGATTTAAAGACCGACTTAAAGTTGGAAAAGAATTAGAGAGATGGGAGAGTTATGGAAAAGTCATCAGTCCTAGTTTTTTGTTCCTCCCCTTTGGAAGCCTCTTGTAGCATTCAAATTCGGTTTTTGCCATACGATTGAATGGCAGGCAACCCGCAGCAAAGCTTAGCCACATCTAGGATGTTTGTACCATACAAATGTGCCAGTTGCAATCCGTTTTCCCTCCTTTTTTGCCCCCATTGTGGCTGCAATTTATTTCCACGGGCTTTGCGGTTGTTTAGGACCTGAAAAGTTTCCATTTTTTTTTAGCTGCTTACGAGAGCGAAAGTGGAACAGAGAATGGAGTCGCATTTAACGCTCACTTTTGGGGAAAGCTCGAGAGGCGGCTGAGACGTTTTCCATTAAGGCAACTGTCAGCCATCATAAGCTTTAAGTACAAATCGCATTTCGGGGGGGCTGTCCACGATGATATTTCGCAATTGAAATCATTGACGCTGTAACAACAAAAGGCACTTCAATGTTGACATTTTGATTTTGTTCCCCAAAAAATGGAAAGCAGAAAATTCTTTTCAATCTGCCAGCCGCGCGCGTTTTTTGTCTTTTTTAGACAATTCCGCTGAGAGGCGGAGGGAGGGGGAAGCCAAAGGAAAGGGAGGCAGGTACCACGGGGCGTATGAGTCCCGACTGCCTTTTATGTGGCATAACAAAAGCTTATCGCCAGCATAATAGAGACACGCGTCTGTGTAATAAAGTAGAGCCCAGCTCGCAGTATCAGTCCCAGTCCCAGTCCCAGTCCCAGTCCCAGTCCCAGTTTTCCACTCCCAGACAAACGTGCACTTGGACGTTATCATTAACATTATTATTATTATCATTGTTACGAAGGCAGACTTGACTTTGTGTGGCAGCAACTTAAGTGACTTTTTGTCCGCTCGCTCTTCCTATTTTCTCACAGAACTCAAAGCGGAAATCTTCGGGCCCAGCGATCTGATGGTGAAAACCGGTAGCGACATCAACCTCACTTGCAAAATTATGCAGGGACCCCACGAGTTGGGCAACATATTCTGGTACAAAGGTGCGTATGCGTAATGAACTCCAAGCCTCGGTGGCATGCACCTCATTTACGCAATTCAATTTGCAACTACCACGCATACCATTCCCTTTTGCAGGCAGCGAAATGCTCGACGGCAAGGGCGAAAATGAAATCGACAGCTCCATGGCCCGGATTCGTGTCGAGGATGATTGGACCGACGGCCTGACTTCGAGGTATGTACAAATATAGTAACGACTCCCCTTGCCCATCATCATTTCGCCATTCTGCCACCTGGAGCAAACGTGCAAATGTGTGCCGAGCATTTCAGTTATTTCGCATTAAAATACCGCCTCACTTAATTAAGGCCAGGGCAGGCATTTGGAGCGGGGAATTTAAAGCACAGCCGGTAGTGGATGTGGCCTGCAGTCCGTGTGCAGCATGGACCCCGACATTGAATGACATTTTAAGGCCAAAGCGAAGGACGAGTCCCGGCTGGAGGACCTTCCCCGCCAGTCTGGGTCCGAATCACGATCGAGGGTGGATTAGGCAGGAAATAATGCCAGTCTGCATAGCAAAAGGGAGCCAAGAACTAGACTTAGAGGAGGTTCAAGTCGAAGGAAATGTGAAAGAAATACGTTAAGCGATATTAAAGTGCAAAATTAACAAAATAAATAGTAAATATATACACTTAAATTCAATAAGAATTTTTATATAATTAATTGAGCTAGGTAACAGCTGAGTTTAGCTCTTTAAAAGTACCCTGAAGAACGAATAAGAAAAGGAGAACTGATTTGTAGCCTAAAAACTTGCATTAATAAACAAAACATTGCTAAATATATATCCTTATATTCATATCCTTGTAGCTAAGCTACCTACTCATACTGCTCTAAGTCTCCCTATGAAGCTTAGCTCCTGTAAGTAGGGTATCATCTGGTTTTGATTCCCATTGCAATCCCCTTCCATCACTCTACTTTGTGCTCAAGTTAGCCGTGTGTGACTTTTAATTTGCCTTAGTCAAAGTCGCAAAGTCTGTGGTGTCACAGTAGTTGCAGTCGGATTTGGATCCGTATCCGGATACCGGGAACTTGGGGGCTTGCTCTGTTTCAGTTGCTGCCACGTGATCATTGCCCATTTATGCTGTTAACTAACGACGCAGACGACCATAAAATGCAGGTGCCGCTGACAGAGATGAAAGGAGAGTGGTAAAAGCAGGGATTAGGAGCACTCTGGAAAAGCTAAAGCAAAAGTCACTGGGAAATTATCTAGGAAAATATAGAATAACATATTTTACTGCTTACATATTTCAACAGTTTTTAATCTAGAAAGCCTTAATACCAGCTATAATAATAATAATAATACAAATTTTACTTGATGGATAGTTGCAATAATAAATTGTATTACAAGAGTTATTATTTTTATAAATTCTGTACAACTCTAAGCTTCTTCAATTTCTTCAAGTGCAAAGTGACTTCGAATTAGAGTCAGTGGTGGAGTCAGCTCGGTACACATTATGCCATCGCATAAAGTAGCAAAAGTTTTGTATTTTTTTCCCCTTGATGTTTTTCCCCCGACATTCTTTGGCCTTTTCCCTTTTTTGCCTTTTGTTCCACATGCATTCCTCTACAGCCATTCACTTTCTCTATGCTCTTCTCTTTTCCTGCTGCTGCTCCTGCTCCTGCTCCTGGTCCTGGTCCTGCTCCTGGTTATACTGGCCCTGCTCCGCGGCACAGATTAAAAATCAAGCGCGCCATGCCCGGCGATACTGGCAACTACACCTGTGTGCCGACGGTGGCAAAAACCTCGAGCGTCTATGTGCACGTAATTATTGGTAAGTAACTAAGGACTGCAGCGGGTTACCTGTGCTGTGCTGTGCTGTGGAAGCTCCTGCCGGTGTTTGAGCTGTCAGAGAGTTTTGCATGTTTATGACGGGAAGTGGAAGTTGCCTGTTAGCAGCGCCACTTTCGCAATTTGTAATGCCAAGTGCAAAACGGGGCGTGGCCGTGCAGTAATTGCATTGCAGCCGACTCGGCGAGAAATTGCTGCTTGCCTCTTTTCAGATTTTGTAAAACTTGTTTTTATATTTTGTTTTTGTTTCTGTTTCTTGTTTTTTTTTTTGCTGCTGCTGCTGCCGCATGTTTGTATTTGTGCAGCAGCACGGAAATTATTTCTAGTTGCTACTGCAGGCAGCTAGAAAGTTTTCAGCCAGCCAGCCAATAACCAGAGGGGCATGTGAGGCATGTGGCTCGAGGAGCTTGTCAGCTTTATGGCAGCAGCTTGTGTGCTCGAGAGCTCATCGAGAACTATAACAACTTGAGCGGCCGATGTTTTTCTTTGCCATAAACAGGGAAAAACTCGATGCTATCTGGCGACTGATTGGTGGCAGGAAGCTGAAGCTAGGTCTAACTAACGCTTGTTTAATTTCCGGTCGTTAGATATATGTGTCAATGGAAAATGCAATTATTATTATTATATATATTATTTTCCTAGTGAAAATTCTTCTTTTTATTATGATTTTACCTAGTTTAATGTTTTAAATTCCCCTACTTTGGGTTGACATTGAAGTGTTGTGTCAGGAAACTATGCTGCAATTAGGACACTAATGGCTTTTACCATACCTAATCCTGAGATTGCTTTCGCTTTTCAACAGGCGAGCACCCGGCGGCCATGCAACACAACTCGAGCAGCAACAGCAACAGCTTCTATTGCGGCATCTGCTGCATGCTCCTGAGCATTGTATCCTGCTGCCTGCAGCACTTCTACGAGGCCGGGTGTGGATACATCCATGCTGCGGCAGCGGCGGCAAATTCAGCGGCACTGCGTCCCCCGAAGCGAACGGCGCTAACGAACAGCGAAGCACGAGTAACTGCAGCAGCAGCAACAACAGCAACAGCAGCAACAGCAACATCTATGGCAGCAACGTGCAACATGTTGAGAGAACGCCCAGCGGCGGTTCAGTGCATGAGATGAAGGAATAATCAACACGCAGCGAAACACTAAAAAGGCAAAGTACACACACACAAAACACAACACAATTCAACACACAGTACACATATTCAAGGTGATTTAAGTTTTTTATGTATCGCATGGGGGGTCAAACATAAGTATTTACTAACTTCTAAGATGAATGCACTTAGTGGACAGAAAACATATATTAGACGATAAGCAAGACAAGTATTTAATGAAGATAATTAGTTATAATTTGCCAGTCGTTCTGATTAATTTTAATTACCAATAACCGATAGGCAGTAAGTGATCATCACTGATAGACTCCCCACAACCATACGATGATATTGATTGAGCATTACTTCTATATATCTGATTCTAAAGCTTAACCCCGGACTGACTGTATCAATTTTTCCCCTTACAAGTGACAATCGATGGCCGTCAATAATATCCGAAATATCTATCGATTTCCGGAATACGGCTATTGGCTATCAGATAATACAATTATAAGATGGGTAACGCCAATCGAATGCAGTCTCTATTGAAAAGCAAGAGAGAGAAGCTTGGTTGCAGAAACATTTCTTACTTGTAGAATTGGCATTATCCAACTTATTTTTATGTTATGCCTTTAATTGATATCTGTCTTCTGCCAAATATGGACTGCACAACCCATAGTAAATGAAATGCCCCACACTCTCATTATGAAGTAAGACTTACTAGCTATAAAATACTCTGAGATGCCCGAATCACTCCACATGCAACATGCCCCATTCCTTGGACTCACAGTAATCTTCTTCTATGCAATCTCTAACTGCCAGCGACAACCTTGCACCCCTTAGCCCATTGAGTCAGAAATTGGATTGAAATTTGCTGTAAATAATTGCCGTTCGATGGGAAATATTTAACCAAGAGCACTTGGAGGAGGTATTTTTTTGGAAAACAATTAAGAGACGAAGCAAGGCCATTGTTTTATGTTCGAGTGCGAATCGGTTGCTTTGCACATTTATCTGTTTTAGGCATTAGCTACGTTAGGATACGATTGTGAATGTGTATAGTCGATAAGCGGATAACAATGAGAGCCAACACTCGCTTTCATACATACATACGTCAGCACTCGAACCTTGTTTGTGTCAGACCCAATTGCGGGGTAAACTCGTTTAATTGTATATAATTAGTTTTGGCTAGAAAAAAAAAAGAAAAACATAAAACTAAACCGAAAACCAAAAGCAGACACACACAGAAAAGAGGGGGGCAAAATTTAAAAATAAATGCAATTTATAATTGTGCTTATCGATATAATTGATACGACTGCCATGCAAATGCGCAGGCACTGTAAATAAATTCATTAGTAGACGAAATTGTAATTTTAATTAACTCTTAAATGATATAAACAAGCCGATAAAAGCTGATAAATTGCGTTTTAGTTGGTAAGCCGCACCCCGATGCGAGCCTGGAGTGCATCACACGCAACCTAAAATTAACTAACACGCAACACGAGACATAAAACAATTTTAATAATAGTAAAAAGAAAACACTAGTTAAATTTAATATGGATGGACCCCTGGGACAGGATCTCCTTATGTCCTGCAATTTGTAAATAGAGTGAAATGGATCTCGAACTAATCAAAGCTGGCAATTAACTAGGCAAAGTCGGTTCCCGATCGAAAAAATAAAAACAATAACGAAACCCTAGCAAAATACATTTACCCATGAGTGTATGTCGCAGCATTGCAGCTACAAGTACATATATATACATATTTAAACCAGGTACTCTCAATACATTTATGTGTGCGTATCCATAGGTACCCTACATATGCATATACAGATAGGATTGTTTAACAGCGACAACTAAAACACACACACACACTGCAGGCGAGAGTTTTTGTGAAAAGAAAAACCAAATCGATTCAATAAAAATATGATTTAGAAAATTTAAACAAAGTCTAGAGATTATTTTCCAAGAGGAAACATCTGGGTAAGTATTTGCTTCGGCTATCTTTTAGCCATCTCTATTAACTGAAATGTTTTTAGCTAATTAAGATAGCTTAAGCTTAGAGTTTAACTTTTAGAAACTTAACAGCTTAAGTCGCATTCTTTTGCAGATTTCCATTAACATGCACCCTTTTATGAACCCCTATATATATTCATCCAGATTGACATCTGATCTGAGCTCACCTCTCAGGTGAAACCTGTTCGTCTCTGCTTGACTAGGAATGCTAATAATTCGTTCATTGACTCTGCTCTCGGAGTGTCACCGAATGTGTATCAAATTTGCCTAATTTATTCAAATCGATTCGGAGCGATGTTGTCGAGAGTGATGATGATGCCGCCCAATATTTATTTAATTGCAATTCGTCTCCAAATTCGGGGCGTCTCTTTTTGTACCGTTCGATTTTATTCGTTTGATATAAATTCTAGCAAAATGTATAAATAAAACCAGAGCGGAGTGATCGCATTTTAGTCCGTTCTTGTCCAGGTGTTGAAGCATATTGCAAATGGCAATGGATAGATGCCTGTACCTGCTGGTGTTGCTGGCCCTCTGTGCCAGCCTGGAGACAGGTGTGTGTGCTAGCAATCGGAAAATTCACTTCCAGAATTCACAGAAAACTATATAATTTCCAGCCCCAACACCACCCACATCGCCTGAAGCTAACCAGGGGGAGCAGCTGGTGCGAGTCTATGAGATCAATCAAAAGCAATACGATCGTATGCTGCAGCTAACCAAGGGCAGGAAGGTGATATCAGAGGCCAGGGTTATCAATGGGGGCTTTGCCACCGTCAGCGAGTCGTTCAGTGAAACCCTTAGCTCTGGCTGGCATTCCCTCCTGCGGATTGTGGGTCTCACCACGGTCAGCAAGGCCGATGAGACCGAGAAAGTGGACTTTGAGAGTCAACCCTTGTGCGTGATCAAGACCCGCGAGGATGAGCCTGTGGGCAGGGACGAGGAGGTGACATCCGCTCGCAGCTCTGGAAAGGGCATTGAGGCCGATGACGAAGACTCCGCCATTCACTGTATTGTGGTGTTGAAGAAGGAACCTGAACAGGAGTTGCCTAGCCAGGATCCTCATCCAAATTACGCTCAATATTGGAATCCACCACAAGTTCCTCAGCCTGTGGAAGATTCCGTTGCTGAACAGGTTAAGGAGGAAAATGAGGAAAAAGAGGAGGTGGAGGTCACCACTTCAGCCCCATTGAAAAGGAAAACAATGAACAAGAGTACATATCCCAAGTCAGCAAGCCAGGATGATGATAATTCCGATGGTTCCCGCCAGTATGGTGGTTATCCATTGCCACCTCAATATGGCACGCCCTATCCTCCCTCTCCCTACGGAGGCTATCCCTATAGCCCCTATCCAAGCCCACAGCCCTTTGGTCCTCAAAGTCCCTATGGACAAAGTCCCTATGGATCACTGCCACCATTTGGGGCACCACAACCTTATCCTCCCCAGCAACAATTTCCACCACAACAACCCTATGTCAATCCCTATAACCCACAGCCTCAGGGATATCCCTATGGTTATGGATTCCCCTACTTTGATCAGAATCAGTTGGCTCAAGCAAATGCCAATAAGGTAGTGGAGAAACCCCAGGCCGAGGAGGAGGATGATGAAGATGAGGACTCTTACGAGGAGGAAGATGACTACAAGAGACGTTTCTATCCTTACTATAGCGAACCTTATAATTACAGACAATAAAAGAGAATGAGAACAATATGAAAAACTATTTTATTTAATTAACTTTGGGACTTAGCTACTAAGCTAGAATATGTACTGCTTAAAGATGATGTGTTCTTGCTATTTGATTAAAGAATCGTAGAGAAATTTCACTCTGAATGATGATCCATGTTCTAAGCTATGACTAAGCTATCCAAGAACGATCCGTTGATGAGATGGTCCAAGTCATAACTTCTAGATCGCTATCATTCAGTCAGTGAATCGTGTTTTGGCCAAAAAGGTGCTTCAACTAGCCATTAGCGAGACCAGTATGGGCCAGGCGCTGTTTTGGGCCAAGAGAGAACTGGGTCAACGCGTAAATTATGGAGATTGAAGTCGATTAGGGTGATGCCTTAACTGTAGATGAGCAGTTCTGGTTGATCCATTTGAATGACAATGCCGAAAGGGAATTTCATTCCGTCTGCTTACCCAAGAGCAAGATTTTAGAAATATATAAGCGAGTGAGCGCTGCCAATGGAGCTTATTCGCAATCGGCATGAAGTTCTTTCCAGTTCTAGCAGCGATTGTGCTCAGCCTTGTGGCTGTCCAAGCGGGTGAGTTCTCCTGATTTCTGGTCCCAGCATTTGGGAGGAAGCTCATCATCTTTCCTTACCACAGGCAGGAGTCGTCCCCAGTTGGTGAAACTGCACCCGGTGACGCGGCAGGAATACAATGAGCTTCTCCGGCTAACTCAGGGCAAAGAGGAGGTGTCCGAGGCTCGTCTGCTTAGCAGCTCCATTGCCGGCATTAAGGGTCTGGCTTCTGGCTTTGCAGCCGGCAACTTTATTCCAGCCATCTTCAGCTCTGGCTCCAAGGATCAGAACAAGAAGGGACGTCCCCTGTGCGTGATTTCCACCAATGATCTGGAGAAGGGAGAGGAGGACAGGCGCCTGGGTCGTGTGGTGAGCATTGAGTATGAGCCAAACACCGACTCCAGCTCGGGTTCGGGTTCGGGACATGGCAGTGGTCATGGCAATGGTCATGGAAGCGGACATGAGCATGGAGACGGAGATAAGGATGGTGATGAAGATGATGTGACTACTGTCAACTGCATTTTGGTGGTCAATGGCACTGATACCACCACGACGACAACCACAACTACACCAAAGCCAGGTCACGGACACGGTCACGGTCACGGTCACGGTCATGGACATGGTCATGGCGGTTATCCGTATCCACCTTTCCCTCCCTACTATCCCTATGGTTACCCGCCCTACTACTATCCCTATCCTCCTCCTCCACCACCACCCAAGCACCATCGCTCCGCGGGAGAGAAGCGTTCCGTTGGCGATGAAGTGGAGTTAAGTCGCCTGATTGACGCCTACAATGGATTCTACCAGCAGCCCAATGGTTATCCCCTGCGTAGCGTCAAGCGTCCCAGGGCCAACCAGGAGGTTTCCGCCTATCAGCCAGCCAGTTATCCCAAGCAGGAGTACGCCTCCAACTATCCCAAGGTGGTTCGCAACTATGGACTCACCCACCCGGCTCCTGTCTACGTTCACTCTCCTCAGCTCGAGAGGGAACAATAAGTGAAGCATCCGGCTAGAAAAATATCCTTGAAATCTAAATAAATTGACAAAACTCTGATATTTATATTGACATTAAATGGGGGAACTGATAACGAATTGCAGATGATCAAGAAGTATATTTGATAATATTTCTTAGTTTAAGGTTTGCAGAATATATCTTCACAAAGAACCTAAAGTAAACTTAAATATTTATGCAACAGGATACAATACTTAGAGCCATAACCCGTCATAATTGGACTTGGAATTGAGTTGCAGAAACGTTCATTTGTTGCACATTTCCGTGAGTGGATGTGCGTTTGTGTTTGTTATTGTGCGTGTTTGATCGAAAGTGTTACAAGGTCCTGCCACTAACAATGCCAGAAAGAAGCGTTGATCTAGGCAGCAGAAACAGAACAGAGCCACCATGTAAACAAGGAGCATTACACACATCGCACACACACACACACACATGGCAGTATTGAGGTACAGCGACAATTGAAAGTGTAACACATCGTTGCCTTTTGTAGAGCATCTGCTGCTGTTGCTGCTACGACAGGCTCTTTAGTGGAAATGCACCGAGAGAAAAGAGCTTAGGAAAATTATTCATAATAATATTTTACATTTATTAGAAGCATTATTAGATAGGAAATGGGGGAAAAAACTTCAAGAACCCAAGGGATTTTAATATAACAAGAACTCTGCAAATAAAGACACGCAGAATGAGGTTTAAATAGATATCCAGTTACAGATTTAAGTATTTTCACTTAATTTATCGAATATACAATGCATTTACCCACACTTTTCTCTCAGTGCTCGTACTAATACACACATCCGTTCACTTGGCGAAGGACAACGAACGCACAGGCATGAAAGAGAATAAATTAAAGAACAACTCAAAATAACCGCGGGGCAATTGACAGTGGTGCATCGCATCGCATGTGGGCGTGGCAGTGAAAGTGGGCGTGGGCGTGGGCGTGGGTATGGCGATTTGAACGCCCGTTTGCTGTTAAGTGCAAGTGCATCAGATCGGATGCAGTGAGGCAATGACTAAAGAACACCACTCGCCTTTGGCCTCATTGCGTTTTTAGCCAGGCCTGCTACAGTTCCATACACACACACAGCCAAAGAGCCACGCCCAGTGGCACGCTTACGCCTTTCTCCCCTCCAACCCCCCTTCCCCCCTATTCAAGAGGACGAGCAACTGGCAGTGTTGTGTCTATGCACTGCAAAATAATTACTTTCATATCCTGCGGCAATTAAATTCATTTAGTTTGCCACCAATTTCCCACCCTCCCACACACACACACACACACCCAGCACTCTGATTAAGACATTCATTCCGCTTCTCATTCAACGCGGCTTACGCTTGTGGCTGTTGAACCCAGAGCCCAGCATCCCGCCGCCCTTTTTGCAAATCCCCTCGAAACCCCACGAAACCCCTTGAAACATCCCCTTGACAGCCTTCGTCTGACCAAGCAACTCTAAACTATGTCAACTGTTAACTTTTCCTTTCTATTTGTTGCTATTTGTTGCTCGCTACTTGTTGTTTTTGCCGCCGCTGGCATTCCGCTCCCATGGCCTGCATGTTTTTCAAGGACTCTACATAGTTTATCCAACAACATCAAGCACACACACACCCGGTCCGCACACACACAGCAGAAGCTTGTTGCTGCCATTTTGGACATGGCTGAGTTGAATGTAAGCAAATTGCTGAGAGCACTGAAAGTCTTTTGCTGGATCCAAAACAAAGCAAAAAAATATATATATACATATATGGAATTGCCCAAAAATTGCACAAGCTTACTGCCAAAAAAGGCGGTAAAATGTCAACGTCAGGCAAAAATAGATCGATTCATCTAAGTGATTAGTTTGATCAAAAACCTAATGTTCAAATAGAATAAATTCAAAGCAAGTTAGTTATCCTTTGGTTGCAGAAAGCAGACATCCCTCTCTGGTGAAATTTACTTGTAAATTATTATTTCTAGTCAATCTACAAGTTCTTCTCCTATTACCTATTGTTTGTTGTTATTGGTTTAATTATAATGTTAAATTTGCTGGTAGTATGAATAGAATTGCTCGATTCAATGCATTTTACTGGCTTATTATATTTGGAAAATAATATACCCATACTGCAAATGCCATAATAATTAATTAATAATTATTATACAAACTCTTAGTTAAGCTTTAGAGTTATTAATAACTAAACTAAAGCTTTTGTGTCTTTAACATGGCAAATAAACACTTGTAATAATTGGTTTTTGTTGCTCATTTTCCCTTAGAATGTATTGCATTGATGAAGATAAATTAGATCTTGAATAATTTCACCCGGGGGGAAAAGTCAAGCAACCATTTAGAAAGCACGTCACCAGTGCCAGTGACATGATCATCGCCTTCATCATCATTGTCTTCGTCATGTAAATGTCAATTTAACGGAATATTAATGCAGGCACGCCATTGCAAAGGAGACACACACACACACACACAATACACACACATACATATGTCTTTGATATCAACGGAAGTGCGCACACAAATACACGCTCGAGTGCCATTTTGTTAAGGCGCAAAAATTGATAAGTGCCTTGTGGTTATTGCGGTCTTTGGCGGCCATTAACACAACCAGTCGAAAGGGGGCAAGGGAGGGGGTGTAAGGAGGGGGTGTAAGGAGGTGTGCACACACACACACACGGATAATAGCATCAGAAGCATCAGCAGGCGTTTGCACGTCAATCAAACATGGCGTCAAATAATCATTAACAAACGCCCGCACATACATACACAAACAAGGGTGTGATTTTTAAGGAGGAAGCATCATTGCAAGGATCTGGTTGTGTGTTTGGTGTGTGTGTGTGTGTGTGTGTGTGTGTGGTGTGTGCCTGTGTCGGCTGTCATGTAGTTGTCGCCGGCATTGGTTTTGCTGGCTGTTGATTTGGTAGCTCAACTGATTTGCGGTTGCCAAGCCATCGAGAGCAGGTCTTGTGATAAGTGTGGTATTGGGGTATTGAGAAAACTCTGGAAATCCACACTAACCACATAAAAAATTAAATAAATAACAAATTTATTGGGTTACGATTTGAAAAGATTTCGAGGTAGAGGTTTTCCCAACAAAAAATGCTGTTTTTAAGATGCATGAGGAAGTAATTATAACCTTGCAGGGTATTATAACTTTGGGCAAAAGTATTATATTATATAATATTACATTTCTACGCTGTTATGGAGTAATTTCCGACCCTATAAAGTGTATATATTCTTGATTAACATTCAACAATCGAGTCAATTTAGCCATGTCCACTAGGGTCTCACCTTTAAAGCTAAATTAGATTAATTTTTAATGATTCCATTCGGTTATTTGTATATAATTTGTACTAATCAAATAGAAGCAAAGAATTTAAATCCGATATATTTAATTTATACAAAATAGTATGCATTAGCTTTCCTCTTTCTAATAGAAACTCAAAACCCTACAAACATCCTTGGAAAGTGCCTGCCTGTGACTGGCATTTAATAATCTGTTGTCAAACCTGTGTGCTAACTGAAAACCGGGAATGGCAATTTGGCATCAATGGCATCAATGGCAATGGAGAACCTGCTACCTTGCTACCTTGCTACCTGTTACCGGTTAGCTTTCACCTGATTTGCCCACTCCTCGAGATGGAAACCCAAAACGTATGTTCGCAACACTAACGAGCTGTGATTTTTCTTGCCATCAGCAGAGGCTGAATGGAGAGTGACTGCAAGTCAATGCGATTGGCGTCAATTAAGTGCCATAAGCGACACAACAAGCCGTCAGTCGGTCCGCCATCCGGCCGGAGTTTAACGCTCTTCAAGCTCACTCCGGCTTAGTTGGGCCACGCTTTTGACACACTTTCTGCAGATTGATTGGCGCCACTCAATTGGCAACCTTTTTGGCCTGGCCCGGCCCGGGTCTGGTCTCTGGCTTTGGTTTACCGATGACTTCGTGTGCAGCATCGTTACACGCATCGCCTGCCATCATCCATCGGGGTTCGTTTTTTTTATTTCTTTCTCCGACAAGCGATTAGAATAAATTGCAACAAGCCGGCAAAACGACAGGCCTCCTTCTGCCGTGCTGTAGGGTCCTGGGAATCCGCTATCGGCAACGGTATTGAGCTCAACGTTATGCATTTGACACGAGTGCCGATTTCTGCTTCAATAATTTCCCCAATATCTCAACGCTGCCTGCAATACAGATGCGAGAGAGAATGTATCTCGAAAGTTTCGCCTCGAGTGTGTGGCGAGAGGGTTCTGCTGTGAGTGTAATCAATTTTAGTGGCAAACGCAAAGTTTTTCAATGCGCTTGCCATTCAATTAAAAATTTGCGCGTAACTTTATTTCGCTGTTAAGTGGCAATCTACATGCATCATCCCGCCCCCCGGTCCACGCTTTGGGGTGCGTCGGTTGCACATCTGTAAATACAACTATAAATGGCTTTGAAGAGTTTTCCCTTTTCGGCTTTCCATTTTTTTTTTTGCCATGGTTTTGTTTGGGTTGATTTATGTGCACATGCCAGTCAAATTGATGAATTGCCCCCTTGAAAGACGATCAAATAAAATCAGAAGCGAAACGTTTCGGTTGCATAAGTTGGCCGATTGAATTGGTAAAGGTAAGTTAAGTGGTCCGGTTAACAAGAAATTTAAAGCGAATTTAATGGCCAATAGTTCCAAATTTAATGCTAATGAAAAATCAAGCCGACTCCCTCACCTTTGACATCTGTGGGAAATGAAGAAAAATAACCTTGCCACTTCATATTGTTTTCGATGTGGCCAACAAAATTGAGTTTCTCAGCAAAACATAATCAAAAATTGTTTAGCAATGCACAAGGCTACGGCACGCATACACATAAGCCACTTGAAAAATGACATCAATTCTTTGGCTAAGAAGGAAACCGAACAACTGAAGAAATGAGAAGCTGAAGCAGCAGCAGATGACGAAGAAATTGAAAAATAATAACAAAAAGTTACCTTGGCAGCCGTTGCTCAACCTCCGCTCTAATTTAATGCGAT